ACAGTCGAGCTTGTCTGATATGAAGGAAACATTCAAGAAAAAACAATCTGGCTATTTGCAGGAAGTGTGATTATGGCTCACAATACCACACACCTGTCTTGTGGAGTTCCAGGGTTTTCGGAGCCGCATGGGTCTGTACTCATTCTTACCCAACTACATATTTCCGTGAACCCTCAGAGGGTTCCAAAGCTAGCTACACACACTGCACACATGGCTGAGTAGGATAAAAAACTTTTCACTAAGGCTCCGGGATTTTATTAAGCAGCCAGGCCCTCCCTGCAGGGCTTATGTATTGAAGAAGGACAGAAGGACGCCTGACAACAGCACAAGCCAGGCGGTGATTAGAACACCCCAGCTTTATAGGTTGACAGCATCTAAAACAGAATAGCCCAAGGTATCTGCTAGGGAGGGTTGTTTGCTTCATAAGAGGGTAATTTACTGTTTGAAAGGCACAAGGGCATGGGGTACTCATTCAAGTCTAAAAAAGGGAAGGGTCAATATGTATTCCCAAAGATAGGTGGCAAGCATCACTTTTTTTTCCTGAAATCTCTTGGGCTAAAAAGCTAATTTACACTTCCCCTCTATACCATGTTACACTATAGAATCTCCAGGTCAGAAAACTCATATTAAAAGCAATATGCGGGGCTTCCCTGGTGGTGCAGTGGTTGAGAGTCCGCCTGCCGATGCAGGGGACACGGGTTCGTACCCCGGTCCGGGAAGATCCCACATGCCGCGGAGCAGCTAGGCCCGTGAGCCATGGCCGCTGAGCCTGCGCGTCCGGAGCCTGTGCCCCGCAACGGGAGAGGCCACAACGGTGAGAGGCCCGCGTACCGCCAAAAAAAAAAAAAAACAACAATATGCACCTTCACCCCAGGCCTCTTACCAGCATGTTTGCATTGAAGTGTTTGTGGTCATGGGTTGCTTTGGGCGTCTAACCACCTTGATGGTTCTCCCCTAGTTGTTCTCTTGTTTGTCATTTCCCTGTGGGAATTTGGGCTCCAATCCAAACACCAGCATGGTTTGCTGAATGAGAAGAGCAGGACCTTGTTCTAGATACTTCCCTTGTTCTAGATACTGTGTCTCCATTGATATAACCTGGGATCACACTAGATTTTTGCAAACCACATCTCACAGCCAACTGGTATTGGACTGTAGTAAACCAACACCTAATTCATTTTCTGAATGTTAAATCTCATCTTCCCCATTCTGTAACCAATAGTTGGTCCTCTATTCTTAAGGCCAAGGCCTTACATGTATTTCAATAAAATTGTGTCCTAAAAGATTTGTAGGATTTGTCCCAACACTGTAACCAAATTCAGATTTGTTTTCATATAATGATTGTCTAATCTAATATAGTAACTCTTCTCCTAAAGTTTTTTGTCTTCTGTTACCATATTCAGCATCCCATCAATTGGTTTAGTCACATGAGCCACAAGTCCAAATGTCACGTTTTCAATGAGGTCTTCTCTTACTACCCTATTTTAAATTGACCCCCTCTTTTGATCCAGTATACTTCCTATACTCTTTCTCTGTTATTTTTCCTCCATAGCACATATAATCATCTAATATGCCATATATTTCACTACTTATTCATTTTGTATATTATCTTTTGCCTCCTTTAGAATGTAAGCTCTATTAAGGTAGCAATTTTTGCCAGTTCTCTTCCCTGCTGGATCCCAGATGTGTTGTATAGATTGAATATAACAGTTGGATACATCAGTGTCCTGATTCAGGTCAGTAAAAATGTTTAATATGATAGGACTAAGGATAGAATCAAGTACATTCTACTAGAGGTTGTTACCCCTCACCAGATCGCTATTGATCTTTTGGTCGCTTTCAAATCCACTTAATGGTGTTAGCATCCAGCCCAACTTGTTTTTACTTTATCTAGGAGGCTACTGAGAATTTGTTACATTTTTTGCTGAAAATCAAGTAGTTCATGCCGGTGGTAGCCCTCTGATCTATCAATCTGGAAGTTCTTTGCCAAAAAAGGAAGTGGGATTCATCTGACGTAACTGATCACTTCCTCTTTCTAACTGCATGCAATCATCCTTTGGATAACCCATTTTAAACCCTGCTTGGGAGGGACAGGGCATTAATCAATGACCTGTCCAAACCCCTTGACTTCCTGGAAGGGAGGTACTTCCAGGTGTGAGGTCCCTTCGTGTGAGGTCCTTCTGGCTGGGGCTCTGGGCATGTTCACAGAGTGGGCATGAGCTCCCTGGGGGAGGAAGCTGTCAGATGATGGAGGTAGCACCACTGAGCTGAAAGGCTTAGGCTCAGATGTCATTTAGTGGTTGCATTGGAATATCACATCCTTTTGTCTGAGTCTCAGATTCTGTAGTCTATAAAATAAATTTTCAAAAATATAGTATGATACTTTATTGAATACCCTTTTGGTTCCATGTCCAATTTTTTCATGCAGGCAGTAAAGATCTGAGGTTTGGGATATGTTTATTTCTATTGCCCTTTGAACTAAAGGATTTATATTTCTCTTCTCCATTTCCTTTTTTCCCATTCTTCGTGACACACCTGTGGTTTAGGCTCTTGTCATCTCGTGCCTGAATTATTACAGTAGCTTCCTAACTAACTCCAGGATTCCTGTCTCTTTCTTCTCCATCTTCGACTCTTCAGTCAGGCTAATTTCCTGAACCTGGCTATTCAAAATGTGGTCTATGGACCACAGCATCAGCATCTCCTAGGATCTTGCTAGAAAGACAGACTCTCAAGCCACGCTCAAAACCTACTGAATCAGAATCTGCATGTCAACAGGACCTGCAGGTGATTCAAACCAACATTAAAGCTTGAGAAACACTGTCCTCTCTTCCACCATGCCATTCCCCTACCAAGGGGCATCCATAAACTCACACTGAACCATCCCTAAACTACCTCTGAGAAAAGTTTTACCTTAATTTTCAGGTGAGATGTTTTTGATGTGAAGATGTAAATGCCCACCTATACCATCTACTCATTGGTTCTGAGAATGATGAGCAAGTTTACCTAGGTAACTTTAGAGCAGTTATAAAAGTTGAGATTCACCTTGAGTTGAATTCTTCTAGTAAAAGCAAAGTATATTGGTTTTTGGTGAGTAAAAGTTAAGTGGTACTTGGGAAACATGTGGTGAGTTGGTTGGAAACGTTCAAACTAAGGTTCTTAGTTTGACAGAAGCATTTTATATACTTAATTTAATCCTCAAAATAATCTCATTTAGGTGGGTGTTGTTATCCCCATTTTACCTATAAGGAAACTGAGACTCAAAAAGGTGAGGTTGTCCAGAGCCTCAGTACTGGGTAGAATTCAGGCTACACCATAGTAACAGACATCCGAAATACGGTGGTTCAGACAAGTGGCTCTGTACTGAGCTGGACAGGTGACCCCAGGTGGTATGCTTTGCTGATTCATCAGGTCACCCAGCTTCCTTCTCCCATATTGCTTCGTCATCCCCCAGGATGTGGCTGAAGCTGGTTCCTACCCTTGGGAAGAGGGAAAGGGAAAGTGAAGAGCCCATAATTTTCTTATAATCCAGAAGTTCTACCTGTCACTGTACTCACATTCCATTAGTCAAAACTTAGCCACATCCAGTTGCAAAAGAGGCAGAAAAATGTTGAAACCTGGAGAGTTGTTAACTAACCAGAAAAGGGTGGCGACTGGGGGAGATCACAGGCGCTGCCATAGGCACTGAGTTGATTAGTGGGAGAACATAGATTCAAACTCCATGACTTCAACCTGTGGTCTTTCTACCATTCTTTTCCACCATTTCTCATAGTTGACAGTCAGTAAATGTTTGTTGAATTGAGATAGATTGAGACAGTACATGTAAGCCTTTTGGTTATTTGAAATTATTTCTTCCTTCTCCCTTGCCTCCCTGATTACCTAAGTGGCTCTGTGCCAAGCTATCACTATTTTTTTATGATGTTAATTTGTAAAACGGAAAGTGGACATTCATCTTCCTTCAGGAGAAATGTTATAATACAATAATCTGCCAGTTCTTAGAGGTTCTGTGGAATCATATCAAGTGTGATAATGGGTGTTAATGATAGTAATTTTTTTAACAACCAGACGACCATCCCCTTTAAAGTGGGTGTTCTTAGGAGAATGCCATTGCTCAAAATATTTTTGGTATTTTATGTTGGCTGATATAGCAGTAAACTCTCACCGCAATAATACTTAGTGACAACATCATCAAAATCACAGTCATGCATACAGTCATAAGCATTTAACCAATGTGTATGTGGGTCTCCTGGGGGTCGGTTATTTAGACTGGGCCTGGCTGGCCAGCTCTGGGTCAGGTGTCTCTCATTCTCCTTATGAGATAACAGATTATCTTGAACATATTTCTCTCTGGCAGTAGCAGAAGCATAAAAGAACAAGTGAAGTTATGTGAGGCTTCTTGAGGCCTAGGCTAAGAGTTGGCACAATCTGTTATTCAAAGCAAGTCGTGTGGCCAAACCCACAGTCCAGGGCCATGGGAAATACTCTACACCTCATGTAAAAGGGAATGTAGTCACATGGCTAAGGGTGTGAATACAGACTGGGTGAAGATTTGGGGCCAACAAAGCAACCTATCATGGCTCTGCCTTTACCAAGTTATTTTGAATACTTGCAGTGATGTTAAATCTTTATCTTTTAGGGGTAGATTTTATTTTATTCTTTTAGTAAAATAGCTAAATTTATGAATGAAATGGGACAATCAGGCTAAATTTATCTTTGGGCAGAAAGGCGGCTGTTTAGGCATGCGATAGCATAATGAAACTTACGTCTAGAACTGGTTCAAGAATATGGCATTCGGTGGTAGAATAGTTGGAATTGATGTACAGCCTTCCAAGGTGATCAGTTGACTGAAGGAATAATACTTGTTTCTGAAATAATTTCACAATAAACAAACCTCACAGTTTATAGTCACATGTTCCCACTGTGTTTCAAAGTGGGAATAGGAATGAATAGAGGCTCATCTCTAGTTCCTTTGACTAAAATCCTGAGCAAATGCGCTTTCTGTGCAGATTGTCATTGCCAAGTCCCCTCTGGCGACCTTCACCACATTTGTCTACACCATCGAGAAGGAAGGCCTGGTTCTTCAAGGTAAGATTCTCGGCTTAAGCCATTTCTTTAGGCTGATTATGCTCAGTGCTGCCCATTGCGGGTGATAATTACTGCTGTGCTCCTGATAGAAGCTCCTTCGGGACGGAATCAAAGGCCAAGATGAATTGACCAGTGATGTTTATCCTGATAAGATAAGAGAGACTGGCAGTTGTGGTAAGAATTTGACAGAGGTTACGGAGAACTATAGAATCTCCTAACAGACAACCCAAGAATGAGGGACAAACCGAGTAGGCTAGGAACTGCAACCACCCCAGTCCTCTTCGCAGATTCCATGGGGTGAGGGACAAGGAGGTAGGTCTCTGACACCAGCGTGGAGGGCCCAGCCCTGCCTCAGAGCCTTCTCACTTAGCAGGTGGAAGAACGTCATGGCTTCATGAGCGCTACTTCCTCGGCCCCCTTCTGGTTACTCCATTTCCTCTCACTGTGCTTAAGTCCCGACTGGGGACCAGGCCTTGCAGACCTGCACTATGTGACACGGGCCTGAGTTCTGGCTCGTGGTAGAGGCCCCCCAAGGCCACAACCTAGAACTAATTCAACAAACAGGGGGAAAAGTGGATTGAGGGGCATCATTCTCAGATGCTGGGTCCTCGGGTGGTTAGGAAAGGCATCCAGTGGCAGGTCTGCAGAAAACAGTGAACAGGAGGGGGTAAATTCAAACCCCATTGAACTTAGCGCACAGGGCCAGATGTCCCAGACAGCTTTGTAGATTAAGAAGGGTCCCCACAGAAGTGCTCAGGATACACGTCTGTCCCCCGCTGTCAGGCAGGAGGCCCTACCCCAGGAGATGCGTAGGTGCCCATCTAGCCGGAACCACAGAGGAGCGTATTGTCATTTTTGTTCATGGGAGGAATATCTGCCCTTTAGGATTTTGTAAGCTGAGTATTTTTCCCAAGTCTGTGAAACAGAGTAAGTCCTTACAATATCCCCACGGAGACACATTGCATTGTAAAGATCTAGCAGGGCTTTTGTGGGGCAGGCTAGACGGTTCATGCTTCTGACTGAGGAACAGGCTGCAGCCTTCCTTTCCCTCTCCTTCTAAAACATCCACTTCTTAATGGACCCAGAAAGCAGCGTGTTTGTTTGGTGCAGCTGAGCTCCACAGCAGGGACTCGGGTCCAGGGAAATTTGGAGTAAGAACTACTGACCTTTGACTCTTAGCCTTTGACTTATGCTATCTAAGTTCCTTGGTAAATATTTTTTTTACAATTGCAAATATTGTTTTCTGACAAAGAAGCAGAGATTTTAAGACCAGATTAAGCAAAGCAAACAGCAGGCCCCTTTGTTACAGACTCTCTAAGGGTGTATAAGTAATAAGCGATCAGAAAGCTGGACTGGTGTTTACCCAGTGCACAGTGTGCCCTTTGGCTCTCCATTTTTAGAGCGTTTCTTCAAAGATTAGAAGTCTAGTAAATAGCAATTTTAGATGAAGATTTCAAGAAGTTCTATGGAAGATTACAAGATAATTTCACGAGGAAAAGGGCCAGTTCTGCCCAGATGGCTTGTAGGAGGGCCTTGATATGGTGCCTGTATCTTGATCACTCGGCATTTTGGCAGATAACATTTGAAAGCATGGTCTTATTTGGATAACTTTTGGATAATATTGGTGGGAACAAGATACATAGAATTGCCTCTCTGACTCTCATTGCTAAGATCATGATTTTGACAGGAAGGAGGAAATTGTTTAGGGAAAGTATTTAGAAACTGGAACTACAATGAATTGGTAGGGGTTGAGAAACTACAAAGAAAGACTATTAGACATAGTTGGAAAACGGGAGAAAGTGGATTACTAAAGGAGGCTGACCTGGAGCTGGGTGTCCAGGAAAGAGAAACATTCAGCAAAGTGTCTGATGATGCAAGAATCCCAACCAGTAAATAAAAATGTCTGGGAGATTTCAGAGCCTCACCTATTTGCTTTTGAAACTACGCCGTCCTCTCTGAGGTTTTTTGGAGGGGGCAGAACTCTCTGCCCCTGTCAGCAATGCCACTTAATGCAAACCTCTGGGCATTCCCTCCCCTCTGGCTATGTGTTCCCAAGGCTCTGGGGAAACAAAAAGGTGCTCTGATCCTCAGAAAAATGGGGATCCCTCCTGTGTTAGAGAGACCACCTTGGATTTCCATTCCAGCTCTGGTAGGTTCCTGAGAAAATCTCTAGCATCCTAGTTGTGTCAGCTTGAAAAAGACAATGTTGACCTTGATTCAGTGCTTTGCAAAACTGTTTTGCAACCCATTGGTGGGTCATGAAACAAAATTAAGGAATCATAACGAGCATTAAAAAAAAAAAGAAATAGAGAATGGAAAATAACATACACATATTGTACTGTTTCGTGAAATATTTCTTGTGTGATTGTGTGTGTGTGCATGCTTGATGAATTGATGTACAGAGGTTGCAGTGCAAAATGTTTTTCTTACTTGGATTGCAGTCATCGGCCTGGGTGGTCTCTAAAGGCCTTCCCACTTCACCTTTATCTGATTCTCCAAGGAGATGGTGTACTTATCATTCACTTAGCTCAGTAGAGTTCTACCCTTGAGATCTCCACAAACCAGAACCTAAAAGCTTATTTTTGCCCCCAGTCTTACCAGACGACTGAGCTAAAAAACACCTGCACCATTCCCCAGGTTTAAAGCAAAGAAACCTTTGATCCTTGGCTGATAACCTTGGAAAGGTACCAGACATCAAGGCCAAGAAGCTTTTCTTGTGTGAGGGGTTACTCTGGCACAATACTCCTGAGGTGGCATGGAGGTTGGTACCTACAGCTCCGGGAAGGGGTATGCAAGCCGTGTCTGAGGGGCATAGAGACAGAGAGGGGAAGGGCTGGAAGAGGGAGGGCAGCTCCTGTGGTACCAACTAAACAGGAAACTGCTAACCCAGCCACTGTGGCTCAACATTCCGTCTTCGTAATGGAGCTAGCCTGAAGTGGCAGTAAAGAATAATCCAGACGGGCAACCCTGGTTTTTTGGGTGGGGAGCAGGGCTGTTAGTGAGTGTGGGAATGATCACTGGGTGCCTTTCATCCCCTTAGCGAGACCCAAGATTCCTACCAGCCTGCTAACCAGGAGGTTTTTTTTTTTTTTTTAACATCTTTATTGGAGTATAATTGCTTTACAAGGGAGATGCAAGAGGGAAGAGATATGGGAACCAGGAGGTTTTATACTACCTGAAGAGCTCCTGAGTGCGGGAGCAGAGGGAGGGAATGAAAGGTGAGGGCAACATTCGATTTACCGGCTCCACAGGCCATTCCCCTCCCCGGTTCTCGAGGATTAGGGTGCTGAGAACGGCCGACAACTGGGGGCCTTACAGCCTTCCCGCCCCTTTGTTCACTGGGACGGGAGGGACAATAAAACGGCAGGCTGGAGAGACTGAGGGGCTTGGTATAGAGATTTCTCAGGCTGCTTTTTAAACACTTGAAGGAGCCGGTCCATGCTATTGTTGTAGTAAAATAGAAAGCGGAACTATTCTCCTTTTGCAAGAAAAAAAAAAAAGAAAAGGAAAAGAAAGAAAACCCACCCTCCAGCATCTTCAGGAGGCCGCCTGGCTCAGGCTATTACCATGGTAATACCGTGTTGTTTGCATCTTCTTTGTCTGTCCTCACACTGGTCCGGGATCCTGGCCTCTTCTGGTTGGGCCCCAGACCCTGGAAACACTTGGGCCCCAAAGGAGAGGGATCTCACAGTCCCCAACTTCCTGATGGTTCAGACTCTGAGAGGGGCCAGGTCCCAGCAGAGGGAAAGTTCATCTATTTTGTGCAACTGAAGTGGGAATGGTGGAGGGGGTCGGGGAAGATCCCTTTAATCCATTTTTCCTTTTGTTCCCAGAGTTCACCATGAAATCCCGCTGTTCACTGAGTGGGAAAGCTTAGAGGCTTGACCGGCCCAGAGAGAGGCTAAGGGGTGCCGGGACCTAGTGGAGAGGAAAAAGCAGGACTTGGCTTTGGGAATTGGCTTGCATGGAGTAGGTCCACAGAACCACATGGCTGCAGAAGGGAAGGGGGCGTTTACAGCGAACTCCCGCTTGACCCACATCTGTTCTGGTCATGTCCTTTGCTTCCCTAGCAAGCCCCAAATGTTGTGCCACCCAGAACACAGCTGGGGTCCCTGGACCTCTTTGTCAAGGCCAGGAATAAAGACTCTGTACTTGAAAGCAGCCAGGCTGTTGCTGATGCTACAGGAAGCGAAGGGAAAACCCAGGACCTGGGTCTCCCGGAGCCATCCTGGCTTTCATGGGGCTCCAGGCAATAAAGGCCTGCCGACTTGGTGAAGAAGGAGATGCTCTAGGAGGGGTTGGCCAGGGAAAAGGCAGAGGTGGCTCAGGGGGGCTCCTCCTTGTGCACTTTTCCCTTGCCCTACACTCTCCTTTTCCTTAGGAGTCTAGGAAGCGTTTGAAAAACGAAAACCAAGTTGTTTTTTGTTTTTTTGTTGTTTTTAATTTAGTTATTTAGTTTTGGCTGTGTTGGGTCTTCGTTTCTGTGCGCGGGCTTTCTCTAGTTGCGGCGAGCGGGGGCCACTCTTCATCGTGGTGCGCGGGCCTCTCACTGTCGCGGCCTCTCCTGTTGCGGAGCACAGGCTCCAGACGCGCAGGCTCAGTAGTTGTGGCTCACGGGCCTAGTTGCTCCGCGGCATGTGGGATCTTCCCAGACCAGGGCTCAAACCTGTGTCCCCTGCACTGGCAGGCAGATTCTCAACCACTGCGCCACCAGGGAAGCCCAACCAAGTTGTTTTGAACAGGATAGAGGACAACGGCTTAGTTTCGCAACAGGACAGAATTATGCGCTTTTATATTGTTTAAAAAAAACCTAAAGATCAGGTAAGACAGGTTGAATCTGGATTCTGGTGCTACTCTTATTAGTTTAGGTTTGAATGAGCAGCATAAACCTTGGGATGGGGCTGGGGAAGCTCAGGGGAGCCCAGAGCACCCTGAGATAGGTCCAGAGAAGTCTAGAAACAAAGCTAGTTTTCTGTTTTTCCAACCAGTCCCTATACTAT